ATGAACATCATTGGAACCTGAATATCCCTCTTCTCTCCTGTGCCAAGTGGATCTTTGTGCTGTTCTGATGCTGACCTCATCACTGTGGTCTGGAAAAGAAGAGCACCTGCTGGTATGTGTGCCTTGTTGCGGGGTACTGAAAAATCTGCGAGAGATCATTATGATTTGATACATCTTTTGTATCAGGGGAATATAAATAATGTACACAGATTTAACTACTGTACTTTTTGAAAAGAAAAGAAAAGAAAAGAAAAGACCCCAATGAAAAAACAGACATAAAATAACAGGCAGTGCATTTTTTTCTGACAATTTTATAAATTAGAATTTGTTCTATGTATAGTGTGCAGCCTAATTACTTAATTGCCCAAGAGATGTTCTAGCCTCTTGGGTAAATTATGTAGGTTTTTTTCTCCTATTATTATTTACCAGAGAGACCATAGAGGCTCTGAACCTTGCAGTCTCTTAGGTAATTTTTTACATAATTATGTACTTAGTCATGAAGCCAGGCTATTACATAAATAGTACTGTTCTTATAGTCTTCCTGTAATAATATATTTACCTAAGAGATCAGAAGCACTCCAAAAGCATGCGAGGAAAGGAACTCTTCTGATCTCTGTATGCGCAAGTGTTTTTATCTCTATATATTTATATAATTTAGGGCCCAATCTTGCAAATCTATTTTTTTAAATCATGAGAACTGTCAGATAAAGGTATATCGTTATGTGCCTCAGATATGATCATTATAACACTGTATCTGTAAGCCATGTTGTAGGTTCCCCTCTATACTCATATATAGTATTACTTGGTAAATTAAAATAAGCTTTCTACTTGCTTATGAAAGAGTAGGTGGTAATTCTCTGGAGGAGTGAGGAGGAAGAACACCCCTATGGTATATCAGGACAGATAAACAATGGTTGGGTAATGGCAGAGATAATCCATACAAGCCAATAGTGATGCAAGGGATCAGAGTTAGTGTGTGCCTGGAATGTCCTGCTTTGATGCTGTGCATGTAGTTTATCCAATTTTCAAACACACTTATTTTTGCAAATGAAATCCTTTTAAAAATGTCAATTATCTGTTCTGATCCTGTATGCCCCTTTTTATGTATGTTTCTTTATGGGGCTTATCAAGTCAACATTTTTTCACATGAGTAAACCCAGCAGAATCAGATTCTAAGTACAGAACAAGTTTGATATTTTTAAGTTAAACTCTTCAGATGGAGTTTTCTTAATTTTTTTGAAAGAGTCATCTCGGGGCTGAGAAATTTCAGACCAAATCCTATTTTTCCACCTAAAAAACTGCATAAATGAGAAGTTTATGTGGAACGAATTAGTCTCCTCAATCTTAATTATCGTGCCAATAGATCAATGTCGTAACAGCGAGTTATAAGATAACTGACTCCCAGAGAAGGACAGTAAAGTAACCTTCTAGGGATAGAGCTGCATTATGAAAAGAGGATATTAAATGTCCAAACAAACAAAACAGATTGTTGAGTATCCTAACATGACAGAAACTAATAATAAGGAAAATCACAGTTCAGACTGTCCTCTAACACAGACACAATAGGGCACAATGAGGAAATGATTAAGGAAACACCCTGTTGTGTCCAGATATTGGAAGTCTTCCTAACTAAAAATTTCTTTGTTTTTACTAGCTTAGGTTACAATTGGAACATTCTTTGAATCCCGCTTTTTGGCTAGTGGATTTCTCTTGTTTTGTTACACATTTCCAAACAAGCTAAAAAGAAAGGAAAGGCAAGGAGATTATATAAGCAGTACAATGGTCTAACACTATATAAGCAATATAAATTCTATGTTTATTTTATATCTATAGTAACTGGAATAAAAGCATAAGTATATTTAACAAGAATTATAATAACTTACAATGACATAGCACTTTCCATCCTAGAGTCACTTCAGATGTCCATTAATTTATTTAGTTTCACAACCTCCTTGGGAGGTAGACAAATATTGCTAGTCTCATTTTAGAGCTGGGAGGGATTAGGGCATAGATAGGTTAATTAGCATCCCTAAAGCTATTCAGGAAGTTTGTGGCAAAGTAAGGAATACAATATGGATTTTTAGTTTCCTGTCATTAATCTCAAAAACATTCTTCCCTATTATGGAAAGGAAAACTGATCTGGAGAAAAAAAGTTATTAAAATTTTTGTCCTAAATTGCAGCATTCCTACCATTAAAATCTTGAGGTATTAAAAAGTTAAATTAGCTTGATCAAAGTTCTGCAGATTTCTAATATCCTTTGTGTTGTATAACACGAGAAACAAAAAGAGCAATGTGTAAAGCTAGTGACACTGCATTTGCATCTTGGACAAAACAAGATTGTTAGAGTTGTGTCTAAACTGTAAAATTCAAACTATGGATCCTATTCCAAATTTCAGGGGTTTAATTCTTGTATTTAGGCCTCTATTTAGTGTAAATATTGGAAATCATGCAACTTTCACTCAATTTCTGTATTATTTCCAAAGGAAGAGGTTTGTATATGTTCAGATAAACAAGAAGGCATTTAGAATCATAAAGGAATACAACTGACAAACATTTGTATCTATATACATTTCTAATTATGTTTTGGGAATTGGGATGATATTCCATCTGGTGGAGAGAGATTAAAGGGTGGGGAAGGGCTAAAGGCTGGGGAGAAAAAAGGGGCTAGTGGGAGGCATGGGGCACAGGAATTCCCAAATGTAATTAAATCTTGGAAATACAGATGCTGCAAAGGGAGACTCCACATCCCACCTCTCCCCTTTCCCCCACCGATCAGGGTGGAACTTAACTCAGTGCCACCATTTCCTTGTGATTGTGAAGAGAAAGTAATTGCACTGGCAATCATGAGTTTTAATTTGCAGTTATCTAAGGCCTTCACTGGTCCCTTGGGGTGCGTTATTTCAAAATAACAATGCGAGCGTTTACACAGCCATTCCGTTATTTTGAAATAATGGACGGCTTATTCTGAAATCTATAAACCTCATTCTATGAGGAATAATGCCTATTCTGAAATAGCTATTTCAAAATAAAGCCTGTATAGGTGCTCCACTGCTGCTATTTCGAAATAGCCCCTCACCAGGACCATTCTAAGTTATTCCTCTCCAGTGCCTACTAGGGCTCTAAATCAAGATACCATGTCTACATTAGGAAAGCCTGCCTCAGACTCATTTTGAGGCTTTCCTGCAGTGCAGATATGCTATTTAGAAATAAGCTATTTCAGAGTAACTATTTTGGACTAGCTTATTTCAAAATAAGCATGCAGTGTAAACGTATCCTAAAAGTTTTCACTTTGGGAAGTTTGCCCTTTATATTTGGGAGATGAAGGCAGATGCACGTGATCATTTTGTATCTGACTACTTCAATCTATATCATTCTCCTTTCCAGCTAATAAGTATTTTTAATTTCTGTGATATTCTTATAATCTTGTTTTCTGATTCCTAGAGGGGTAGCACAAGAATGCAACTTGTAATATGTCATTGGAATTCCCAAGGTTTCCACCTGCTAGTAGACAATGCAGAAGATATAAATTGAATCAACACATCCCCCAACAGCTTTTGCTAGCCAGCACTACCTAGTCTGTAGTCAGTCCTAACCCAGAATAGTTGTCCCCAGTACAGCCCATATCTGATATTAGAGTCTTCAAATTTAAATTATTTATTTCTTGTGATGAGGTGGCAAGATGCACATTATTGCTTAACCTGTGCTTATACTATTTTTTAGAATGCACTGTATATGTATAGTTGTAGAAAAAGTTGGTGCCTTGCTTTAGCCTAGTTCTGGGAAAGTAACATTCTTCTGCTGCTAAACAACAAAGGGGAGAAAATGTGTTCATTTACTGTAAGACATAAGTGCTGTTATTCACTAGAAAGACTGCAGTAAGACTTAACAAAACAGCAATTCAGCAAAGGATATAGAGACTTATTAGAAGATACAGTGAGAGCAGACAGCCACTCTTACTGCATTTACTAAAGTGCTTGCATTTCCTATTTTGAGGCTGGTGAAATAACAATAAATATCATGAAAAGAAAATGGCTATCCACAGCTATTTCATAAAGTATTTATTTTAAATCAGTGAGGATATTGCTGAGAACATAAAAAGCATACTCATTTTCTTTTAAGACTGCAGTTATCTATTCGTGTCCTTTTAAAGTGATTAGTTAAAAGTTAGAACTAAGTCATGGGCTTAGTTCATGTAACTTAAAAGGTTTTGTTTTTATTTGTCTTATAAGTTATCAGATGCAAGAAAACAAAAGTAGATTGTCATTATATTTTTAGAAGTTATTACCACTGAGGGTATGTCTAGACTTCAGGAAACTCATCCGCTTTTTTGGAACAGTTTCCAAAAAAGTGGGGGCATTCTTTTGGAAGCCGTCTATTCCTCATTTTATGAGGAATAAAGACTCTTTCGAAAGAGAAGGCTTTTCCTACATATGTCTACACTGCGATCTTTTTCCAGAAAAGATATGCAAATCAAGTGAATCGTAATTTGCATACCTTTTTCCAGGTTTTTTTTCGGAAGACACTTTTTCGACATTTGTCCAGTCTACACTGTATTCCGGAAAAACTCTGCAGTCTAGACATACCGTGAGATAGATTTCATCACAATGTTTTGATTAGCCAATAAATCAGACTAAGACGCATAAAAGAACTGCACTTAGTAACAAAGGCAAGGGAGTAAATTACAATAAATAGACATCACTTTTAATTTTTAATTTAATTTTGAGCTTTGCTTGAAACAGTAGATAAAGGCTCTGATGAAGCAAACAGCTTTACACATATTTAATTTTACACACATGACTAGTTCCACTGAAGTCAGGTTTATAAAGTTAATCATAGTCATAACTATTTGCAGGGTTGGACCGTGGTAAGCAAATGTATGTTACACAGAGAAATTCTTTGGATCATTTTTATAGTCTTTAACTCTGGCAGAATTCTAGCCGATATAAATGGGATTCCTGCCTATGTAAGAACAATGTAATATGGTGTTTACTTTCTTGGTAGGTCTCTCCAAGAAAAGAAACCAACTACAGCCTTTGGTCATTTATCAGTCTCTTAATGGTTGGTTGGAGGTTTGGATAAACAGAAAAGGGCTGTAAAAGTAGGTAAGTTACAATTATAATGTTTGTTACAGAGCAGAATGCAATTATAATTATAAATGTAGCTTAATAGAATAGGAACATTTGGAAGGTTCACTGCAAATATTCTGTATCTTTGAAATTTATTGCCCTTTTACTGAAATTGTGGCTGTTGAACAATTATTTTGGGGCTTTAAATTGATATTATGACTTTTCTGCCTTGCAATTTACTTGATGATGAAAGGGAAAAGAAATCAGTTTGATTATTCCTGACACATGAAAATGTATTTCAGCTGTCTCTAGCACTTCTACAGTCCTACAGTACTCTAATTTGTTAAAAAAAATTAGCTGTATGTTTATAAATTGAATTTTTGCTGGCTACTTAGTAAATTGGGCTATGGTCATGATACATTTTTTAAAAAGAAAAATCAGTCATCACTTGAAAATCATCTGCTGATAAGATTTGTTTTATAAGAGCTGAATGTGTGTACAAATGTCAACAAGAACTCTGCAGCTAGACTGATAAAATGGAGCCATTAGAAACCATTGTGGTAAAGATCCATTTTAATACCACAAATCTTTTGACACAGCTCCATTTTAAAACTAAGGTGACATTTACCACTTTAATGTCTGCATGACATCTGCATCTGGCTTGACATTACTCATGCCATCGGAAAATTCACTTTTCAGTGTAAGATTTTTTCATCAAAATCTATTAACTCATTTTTAAAGTATTACCAATGGGGAATTATCCTTACCAGTGGCAAAGGTCACGCAATGCAGCTGGTCCTCACTGAGATGGACACAGCTTGGAGGAACATGAGTGCAGCTTGTTCCACATATTTGGGTGACACTGAGATATGTACTGAGAACCCTGCAGGTGGCATGAGATGTTAAAATGCTTTGCTTTAAAGCAGAAGATGAATTAGAAGCAGCTCAGAGAGTAACTTCCTACATTGGAAAACTGGACATTTTTAATCCCATATGTTTTATTATGGAAACAAATTCAGAAAGGAAACTTCAAGCCTATGAATCTATAACTAAAATGGAGAGAAAAACTATGCTCAAAGACAGATATTAGGCACTGAATAAGAGATAATGGGTTTGACTTGGGCCTTCTTTGAATGTTCACTTGGAAAAGTGTGCCAGTGTAACTCATGTTTTCACACATATTTGAATTAAAATGTGTCTTTTTATGGCTCTTTCAATCAGTTGACCTGAAGTAAGCATTTCTCTCCTAACATATGGGGTGTTTCTCTAGAACCTGATCAGGTGTGCATACACACCAAAAGCAGGTGAGAGTGCAACAAAACAATGTATTATCCGGGAATCCTATAGCAACCATGGTTAGTGTTATTTAGGTGCTGACAGCACGCTGTAGTTAAGACTGAAATGAGATATGGACAAATAATCTACTACAAACATTTTATTCAACAGCTATCACCATTGTTTCTCTTCGTGAATTATTGAGGAAATGGCTGAAAAATTGGAGAACCTGCAAACACATGTGAGTAATTTTACTGTTCTAAGTAACCCCACTGAAGTAAGTAGCAGCACGGCTTGCCAATGTAGTATGAGTTGCAAATTTTGCAATTAACTACACAGTTTGAAATTAATGTCCAAAATATAAAGTCTCCCTAAGCTTCTCAAACAAGGACTCTGCTATTATCTAATTCAATATTAATCCCATTTCCAAGAAAAACAGCCTAAGAGCATGTCTATAAGAGCGTTATTTCGAAATAACTCACGTTATTTCAAAATAACAACGTGAGTGTCTACACAGCAAGCCCATTATTCTGAAATAATTTCAAAATAACAGGCTTCTTATTCCAGAATAATAAACCCTCATTTGACAAGGAATAATGCCTGTTTCAAAATAGTTATTTTGAAATAGGGTATGTGTATATGTGGTTATTTCAAAATATTTCGAAATATTGTGGAGTACGCAGGCGCCGCCACTACTTGAGGGACGTTCCATTCACTGAGGTCCAGGTGTGTAAGGAGGGAGCGGAACCTCCCTTTGAGATGCCCGAAGGCACTCTCCACCACAATGCGGGCCCTACTGAGCATGGCATTAAATTGTTCCTTGGTGGGGTCCAGGTGTCCAGTGTAGGGCTTCATAAGCCAGGGGAGCAGAGGGTGGCAAAGCCAGTGAAGATGGGGTCCATGTCGCCTAGGAGGATGAGCCTATGCAGCAGGATGGCGTTGATGGTCCTCCTCATCTGTAGAAGAAGACAGAGAATCACAGGGTTGCCAGGAGGTGTGTGAATCCAGCCCTCCTACCCCCACACACCAGGCCCAACCCCTGGAAATCCAGGACTGGAAAACCTCCCAAGGAGGAAGATTCTACTGCCACCACTCCCGTCCCTAGGAAACCCCATTCCAGCAGATTACCACCCTCTCAATAACATAGTAAGGGTATGTCTACACTACAAAGTTAATTTGAACTAATGGACGTTAGTTCGAATTAACTTTGATAGGCACTACACTAGCGCTCCGCTAGTTCGAACTTAATTCGAACTAGCGGAACGCTTACTTCGAACTAGGTAAACCTCATTCTACGAGGACTAAGCCTAGTTCAAACTTACTAGTTCGAATTAAGGGGTGTGTAGCCCCTTAATTCGAACTAGTGGGAGGCTAGCCCTCCCCAGGTTTCCCTGGTGGCCACTCTGGCCAACACCAGGGAAACTCTATTGCCCCCCTCCCGGCCCCGGACCCTTAAAGGGGCACGGGCTGGCTACGATGCCCGTGCCAGGTGCAAGCC